GGATTTCGCCGGACTTGGCACAACATACGTTCCGCCAGGTCTTTGTCTACTACAGTGTGCTAGACAAAGAGAACGATGAAACCGTAAGCTGCTACGAAGTCGAAACATCGAGCATAATGCATTCCTGGATACGGCGTGCCGAAATCTCGCCGGCAAAGTGTGTTTATCAGCATTTAAAATTAGCAACAAATGCTTTATTTTCTACCTACAATATAATAAAATATATTTTTAATATATATGATCTATCCTAACGTACATTCAAACTTTATTTCTTTTTTTATTTTCTAATTTCAACGCTTACTAAGTATTTTAAAATGACTGGTACGGCGTGGCCGACCCTGCCGCCCCTGACCAGCCGCCCCTGGTCAGCGACATAGCGCAGGTCTGATGCAACCACATCACATCCATGGCCTGTGGCACACCGTCAGCGTACACCTGGTTGGCCCACTGCCCCGCTCCAATAAAGGGAACGTGTATGTTTTGGTTTGCCAGGACCGGTTTACCAAATGGCTATATCTGCATACCCTAAGGAAAACCACCATCGCCACCCTGATCCGAACGTTAATCGACCGACCGAATAATAACAAGATTTGGATGTGCCAGGGTAATGATTACCGACGATGGGGTCCAATTCCACAGCGGATCCCTTGACTGCTTCCTGAAGAACTACCGCATCTAGCACCGACTGACGCCGCTGTATACGCCTGAAGCGAACTCCGTCGAGAGAGCTAATCGCGTCGTAAAAACAATGATCGCCTAGTATTGCGAAACCACAGAAAATGCTTTTCCCAAGCATTCCTGAATTTTGGCCGTGAAATCCGATGGCCCCAATGACACCGATTCTGTTGCCGATGATCCTTCCGTAACCCCTGAGCAACACTCCCTTATGATCAAGCTGAACTTAAGCCGTGCGTTCCAAACGTACATATAAGAAACACTACGATCTCTACCGCAGAAACTGGAGTTGTCACGTAGGAGACCGCGTGATGAAAAGAGAGCATCCGTTGTCTTCTGCCGTCAAAGGTTTCGCCGCCAAATTAGCCCCGAAGTTCTCCGGCTCCTATCAAGTCACCAAGGTCTTATAACCGGTCGTTTTTACGTTGAAAAACGAAGCAACCGGCCGTGTGTACAGAAACATCCACGTAAAGAATATAAAACCGGTCTACTAATCCGCCCGCTCTACGTACAAGCCCGGTTGAAAGAGCTCTTCGGCAGCTCGCCCGAGTCCGTCCAGGCGTCCCCTACGCTGCTGCTGCTGGCCTCCCCGTTGCCGGTTCTGACGCTGATCTCAGCGCTAATCTCCCAGCTTCAATCCACGCCGCCGGTCGCCGTGATGGCATCCCCGCCGATCCTATACCTGGCTTCGCCGCTGGGCATATGGTCGCCGTAGCTGGGTCTTCCTGCCGCTTCAACTCCCGTCGGAGGAAGATGGCATCGTCCCCATCCAGGGACCAGCAACATCGAACGGCCGGGAATCCTAGAAGTTTCAGTAGTTTTGGTTTAGGATTTAGTTTTTTTAGGGTGCGTTTTTGTTTCTTTGTTTCCGTGAAATTCCGTTTTGTAGTTTCGTTTGTACGCGCTTTTTTCTTTTTTTTTATTATTTTGTATATATCTTCGTTAACTGTATGTAGGATAGTATTAAGAAGTATTGTATGATCTTGTTTCGGAAAGTAACATAATCAGTTCGGCCGGCTACAAATTCGCTCCTATTTGTGCAGAAAAGGTAGACTGTGCCTCGGCATTAACCGGGGGATATTCCGTTCCGCCTTCAGGTATCAACCGAAGGATCCGTCCCGACCGCCAGAGGTTCGGCATGGAGCCAACATAGAGCACGCCTTCCCAGCCAGGGGAGTGCGGCCCGTGACAGTCAGTGATCACCATGACGTACTTAATCGAGGAAAACTACATTTGGGGACGATGACGAGCCTGATATCACCTTTGAAGACGACCGCGATCAAGGTCGTGTCAAACTCCAGGTCGACCGAGGATGATCAGAAGACGACGTCATTCGTTAATGGACAGTCACGCGATGTTTAACTCGAGGGGAAGTGTTGGACGCCTGGTAAAGTTTGTATAGGAAAATATTTCAATTGTAAATTTTTACGTGAAACTTGGTATTAATGCTCTCAACACAAATAATGAAACAAGTATTTCAGCTTTTTTTTTAAATTCCACCCCTAAGAAGATGAAAAGGGATGACAATTGACAACGTTTCTATGAGGAAACATATTTTTATGGCGAGTTTTACTTAAAACTTGGTAATAATGCTCAGAGGGCGATGTATAAAAAATATTAAAAATCAATTCAAATTTATACAGTTTAAACAAACAAAACAAAAAAATCTTTATTATAGACCGCAGTCAATAATAACTTCACTTCCATGATTACCCTTGGTCAAATTTAAATATCATTGTTGACTTTGAGAGAGAAAAACGACTAGTGAAAAAACATATTTATTGCGGTTAAACATCACAGTAAATGTTGAAAATGTTCACCATAATTTCGGAGGCTTTCACGATCGGAGTCAATATACAGGGTGACTGGGGTATATTGTGCCAGATTTTAAAGGGTTACAATATGCATTATTTTGATTCTAAAAGCCTAATAACATTTTGGCCTAAAACGTATGGTTAAGTCAGAACTTTATGTGTCTCCACGGTTTGAGAACCACTGCACTATGTAATATTAAATTTTACCAAGTAGAGAAAATTAAATACTACTGTTAGTAATTTTATTTATTTTTAAACACCTTATTAAAGCAAATGCTCAAAATGAGCTCCATTCATTCTCACACAAGCATTGGCACGACGAATCCATTGCTCTTGCACTCGTTGGAGCATTTCCGGGTCACCGCGAATGATATTGGTGGCTTCATGGATTCGTTGTCTGAGGTGATCTTCTGTTCTGATCTCTTCTGTATAAACCAACGACTTCATGTGGCCCCAAAAGAAAAAATCTAGTGGATTCAAATCGGGAGATCTGGCAGGCCAATGCTGAGCCCCGCCTCGCCCGATCCATCTTTCAGGGAATTGAACATTTAAAAACTATCGTACCAGACGGCTAAAATGAGGTGGCGCCCCATCATGTAGAAACCACATACTTTCCCGGATATGTAGCGGCACTTCTTCCAACAATTCCTGTAAATTTCTTCTTAAAAATCGCCAATAAATGGCACCCGTTAACCGCGGGGGCAGTTCAAAAGGTCCTATAAGATAACTGTTTACAATACCGGCCCATAGATTAATTGAAAACTCCTGCTGAAAACGGGTTTGTCTTATGGCATGCGGATTTTCATCTGCCCAAACGTGAACGTTGTGATAATTAAAAATTCCCCAACGCGTAAATCCTGTCTCGTCTGATGCCAAAATAATACGAGGAAAGTCGGAATTTTCTTCTACCTTTCGTAGAAACCAACTACAAAATGCAAAACGGGGTTGATAATCAGCTGGAGATAGAGCTTGTACACGCTGAACATGGTATGGATATAATAACTGTTCTCGTAGTGTTCTCCAAATGGTCCATTGAGACACATTAAATCGTTTGGCAAGGCATCTTGTACTAATTCCAGGATCATCATGTACAACATCCAACACCTCTTCTTCAATATTGACAATTCGCTGAGGGCGTTGTGGACCTCATTCGACTCTTCTAGGTAACAAGGAACCCGTCTCTTGGAGTCGCTGGTGCAGATCTTGAAACATTCTTCTTGAGGGTAACCGTCGGTGAGGGAAACGAGTGCCATACAAACGCGCTGCCACACGGGCTACTCCGCGTACCTCTCCATAAATTAAATGAATGTCCGCTAATTCTCTAAGTGAATACCCATTGACATCCATCGTAAATTTATTAAAACATGTTCACAGATACTTTGACAAATTGTCAAACAGGAGTATTATTTTATTATTGAATTTATTGTCATGGTTTCTAATAAAACAACTGTAAAAATTTCAATATATCAGGTGAATTCCAGCGGTTTTCAACCGGTGGACTATGAAATTTGTGTATTCTATAACTCTTTTGGAATAAGTCTGAGCTGTAAATGTTATTAAGGTTTTTTACTCAAAATAATGCAAACTATCACCCCTTAAAATCTGTCACAATAAACCCCAGTCAGGCTGTATGATCGTTTTGCGGGTTGGGACCGTGTTATTTGAGTTTTGGGCTCACCGTTTCGCACACTTTCGTAAGTGGTATCTTCAGGAAGAGGGTTGAGAAATTAGGAAAAAGGCAAAAGAGGCGAGACTCTTCTGGTAGAGAGTTGGCGGGAGAAACCGTCGTGGCTGAAGCTAATTGGCCGACTCAGGGCGGAGTGGGGGGAGATAAACGAACAATTGCATCCAATGTGGGCTTCCAAATATTTGACAGATAATAACCATTGCCTCGGTTGAGATTATGAGGACATTTATGGATTTCAATAGCTTCGCGGATTTTCCGGTAATACTCGTAGAATGTGGTGCTTTGGACGGAACTTTGGAATTTTCAAACAGAATAGTGTGACCGCTTTCATGTTGGTGTTCAGCTACGGTCGAGTGGGACAGAAGACCTGTTTTAAGACAACGTTTGTGCTCTTGAATTCGAATTTTTATGGACCGACCAGTTTCTCCTATATATTTTACACCACAGGAGCAGGAAATGCTGATAGATTCCTCTACAGTGTAGAGCTTGGTGAGAATCTTTGACGGAAGGAAGAATTTGTGTAACTTTAGTTGCAGGTTTGAATACTGTTTTAACTTTTTGCCTTTTGAGTATTTTGACCAAACGGTCGGTGACCTGAGGCATGAATGGGAGATATGTAGTCGATACGAGATCACACTATCAAGTCAGCCATTCAACGTCAGCTTAATCCCAATTCTAACAATACTTGAAATCACCCAACTGATCTCATTTTTTAAATCCATGGTCAATTATGTCCTTAGAATCATTTATAAAAACCCTGTATTATCGCCCGTTACAGTAGTACGTAAAAAGGTCGTATGATATGTTTGATGTAAAATTAAAACTACTTATATACATGTATATATGTTTTGTTATTTAATATGTTCTTTTATCCAAGACAATTTTTTGTAATGCAGATACTGGCATTTCTATGAAGAGAGTAACCACCAATGCCGACAAGTATGCGATAGCTACATCGCCCAGCCAACTGTGCACCTATAAAACAAAAACAAGAAATAGATCTGCTATTTTTGAGCACCTGTACCTAATTACCAGTAACATTTCATTCGTGTAAAGAGGTTGACGGTGAACAGCTATTCTTAATCTTATCAAAGTAACGTGAATCAAATATGCACTAAATGTTAATCGGCCAAGAACCTGTGCTGGTGGCCAACGACAAACCCAAACACAAAACCCTAAAAAAACTCTGTTAAAAAGAAAGAAATTCAACAGCAAAATAAACAAAGTACATCCAATATTTTGAGTCATTCCGTATATTCCAATGCCAAGTCCTAACCCGAAAACGTATTTTCCGAAGCCCCAGTACAGAGCTGATTCTAATCTAGTATATGAATAATTGTCTTGGTACATTTTTCCGGCAACAAGGATTACAGAAATGGATAACCCGAATGAAAGGATCCACCATAAGATCACGTATATCTGAAAATCATTATACATATATCGTAATCTGACGATTTTTGTACACAACAGGTTTACCTTCGCTTTAAATACATTTTTCCTGTTCGTTTTGTAGAAGAAGTATCCAAACATAACACCTAACGCATAACCTGTAATATTTGAATAAGACGCTGAATACATGATGTGCCATTGGGGAATTTGAAGGGTGTAATTATACAAAACCCTAAAATACAGCTGGCTTATTAATATGCGATCAAGTTGACGTTAAATAATATATTTACTCACTCGGGAAACTGTCGAACTAATATGTCGTAATTGTTTACGTAACTAATTACAGCAGGAATCAAAATGCCAACTGCTGTAGTACTTGCAATAATTAACTTGCAGTACTTCTCAGCTGATTTCATTACATATATTACTATCAAAAATATTAAAAATAACTGAGTATCAGTTGCCAAATACCAAGTTTGCTGAAGACACTGAAAATCAATAATGCCATAATGTCATAAGACAAAAAAGTGTATCTCCTGGAACTTACCATTTCTTCTTTATTTACGTAATTATTAATATATAGTAAATTGGTCCACCAATTTTTTCGACAATTTCTATACTCATCACCTATTATTTTATCCCAAAATGGACCACGTGAAATATGAATTAGCCATGTACAATGAAATGCAACAACGAAAGCTAAGGTCGGTGTTAACCTGTAAATTATCAAGTAAATTTACGTCAATTCATTATCTTATTTTATTAGATATTGCTTAAAATTGAGAACAGTTTTACCTTAGATATCGAAGAATAAAGATGCTGAAAAGATCTTGGATTCTCAATTTTTGTTTTCCTTCGAATGTACAGTATACTTTGTATGTTAATAGCCATCCAGATATTAAAAAAAAGGTTTGCACAACATACCCACCATTTGTTATGAATGCATTTAAAAAATTCGTATGTACCTACAATAATTTTTCAGAAAAAAAATAACGCTTGAAATAAGACCTCATTTACACTTTCATTGTATATAGGGTTAGACACTGGTGTTGCAAACTGAACCATAATCGTGTGCGCTAAAATAACACACATCATATTGTAAAAACGAACTCCCTGTATACAACTTAAAGATATGTCGTCTGGATTTTTTGGAGTGTGATCCATAAGTCTATAAAAATTCTTTGGAAGCGAAAATGCTGCTAAAACCCGCCCATCTAAAAGAAGTCGTTCATTTACAAATTAATAATAAGAAAAAGATTGTAAAAATAATTCAATTCGTAGACTCTTATATGCTATACAGGTTCCCATACTTACATCCAGATCTTGTAATTCGTTCGTATTCGTGTTTTAGCTTGTATCTAGCTGCACCTTCATACAATGACGCCACAGCGATAAATATAAAGTATAAAACGATAAAAACTCTAAAAAAAATCCAAAATAAGTTTTCTACATGTAACAAAAAAATTCAAACTACTTCAAATTGTACTGACATTGAAGTATCTAAAAACGCAGATATTATACTAACCCAAATAATATGTCATAAATGTCAACCACACGTGCAGATCTTGTATTGTCACAGTGTATTTTGACTACTTTTCCTCTGATCCCTAGCTGGAAATACTTCTCATTGTAACAATCGGCTAGACTATCAACAGCCACTCCTAAATTATCAGAGGAATAGTTGCCAATCTGTAATGCTTTTGGACATGCTTCTGGAATACATACTCCATGTCTTAGTAAGTCATGTCTGTAATTACTGGGTTTTGAACTTATTTTCTGTAAAATATACTTGTAGTTATTCTAAGCTCAAACTTTTCACTGATTGCTGCATTCCCACCTCTATTGTATTCCAAATTTCGGTCACATTCGATGACTCATTTTGATACAACTGAAATGTAATCGAACAGTACAGACTGTCATCTCCGCGGAGCATACATCGGTCGTAGTCATCAAAGTGGAAGAGAGGAGGCATAGAAACATATTGTTTACCTGTAATAGCAAATTAATATCAATTATGAAAAGTATAAAAATTGGTCAAAAGTTATTCTGCAGAACTTCCCTCGTTTCTCTGAAAAATTATAAAATTAGATTTTGCTATGTTTGTTTTGTGACAACCTATATAAAGTAAAAACCAACTGTCTGTCTGTCTGTCTGTCTGTCTGTATCCATTTGTATTAGACACGTAATCTCGGAAACTGTTGAACAGATTGTTGTCCAATTTTGGATGTATGTTAGAAATATCATGTAATGTATGTAATATTCGAATACTCAAGAATTCCAAGAGAAACTACCTATTTTGAATTCAGTACAGGTACCTAATGCATCTGATTTCGAAAAGGTTGTAAGAAAAATTACTCAACGCCAAAAAAGGAAACTAATATGTATAAACAATAACAACAATAACAAAGAAAGCGATAAGAAGAAGATGTCTGAATTAATTATCGCTTCAAAATCTTTATTTCAATGTTAGTAACACCTACAAGAGATTTATATGTCTCAAATTTGTTATTTTTAAAAGACTAACCTGTGGGAACGTCTGCAATTACACAAAAACATACGTTGTACAATATGAGTACACAAAAAAAATGGGTTTTACTACACATTGAGCACTAAATTTTATGCACCGATCTCTTGCTTAGAACAAATGACTACTAGTTTAACTTGATGGACAACACGTAGACAATACCGACCTAACATCCTTCAACCAAATGTGCGCAATTTATTTTCACAATTTTATGACGAATAAAATTACAGCAAAAGTGTATAAATATATTCAAATATAAGAAAATTGTGCGACATTACAACTTCAAACTAAATGATTTATTTTTTTTTCCAATATTTTGTCTAATAAATATTTTTAAGATTTAGCAACCAAATATCGATATTCATTTTTGAATGAATTTTGAATTTTGGACACGTTTAATCGCTTTTCATCTAGTTTATTAAAACTGATGCCATAAAACACAAATGGGTAATTCATCCTTAAAACTTTACATTGTTGTTTTCTTGCACAATTGCTAAATCAGGTATGTATTTAGGACAAACAACTTTTACAAGATTTATAAAAATAAAAATTTTTCTAATGCAATAAATAATACTGCGGTGCTGCAGGTTTTGGTATATGGTTTTTCAGATGGGATTTTACGAAACTTATCGCGAGCTACTATTAATCAATACAAGATCCAATACAAATTTATTAAACATATTTGAAACGACGTAACATACCTATTTTACTATTTTGTCAGAATTATACGGAATTAGATGAATTATTTCTGAATAACTGACGAAGTAAATTGGTGCACCGATATATTTTTAACACCTGTAGAATTGATTTTAAAAAACTGATCTGAGGTGACCCTACATATTCAGAGTTTTTCTCATACAGATTTTTTTAACGAGAATTAATTATCATTCCATAAATGTACTTTTTTTCAGGAAATAATCTGCAAAATATCCGCTCGTGCAAATCAAGTTGACTCCGAATTTTCTATCCTGCGCATTCGCGCACCCGAGAAAATCAAAATTGTCGACTATTTGACGTGCATTCGGGATATATTTATTAGAGACATTACTATTGAAAATTTCAAACGATTTTTATCAATATTCTGTGTGGTTATTTTTATCTTTTGGAAACGTTATGATCTACTTTGGATGAGTTTTTATTTATTTTTATTAATCGGTGTTTTAATTTTCCTATTTCTTGACTTTCGACTGTTTCGATTTTTCAGTTTTTCAATTCTCCAATTTTTCTATTTTTCAGGTTTTTGATTTTCCAATTTTTCTATTTTTTTAAGGTTTCGATTTTTCGACTTCTCAATTTTTAAATTTTTTAATTTCTCAGTTTTTGGATGTTTTAGTTTAGGGATTTTTCAGATGATTTAGGGTAAATGTGTACAAGAGTACGCACTTAGTGTAAAACTGTCAACAACTTTTTAGTTTTTTCGAATAGACAAATTTTATGATATGGGTTCGTTATATACATGTTTAGAGATCAGATATATTCAGTTGTATGTCCCAAGACCACTATATTTTAAGAGTAATTAAAATTTTTGTCAAGATGTGTAAATGCGCACTCTTAGACAGTTCATTGCACAAGAGTGCGCATTTGAACGCTTATGAGTGCGAATTACATTTTATGAAAAAATATTTGTTTCTAAGGTGAAAATAAATGGGAATAAGTGACTACAGACTACACATAAAACGGGAGACCTATTTCTTCGTGCTCTAGAGGTCTTGAAAAGTCGAGAAAACGTAAAAATAGAGAGTCGGTCGACGGACTCGATAACAACACGCTCACGAAGTAAAAATAAAAAAAAAAAAATCACCATAACCACCACCACACAACTTGAGAAGCAGTACAAAGTAGTAGAGTTAAATAATTCATTATCGTATGATATGTATCTCCAAGACTAGTCGACTACGTATTGCAAGCAATGCGCACTCTTATACAATACCTCACTGCGCACTCTTGTACATTTGTACATAACCTAATGTTTTCAAAGTTAAAAGCTTTTGACGGATAGAAAGTATAAAACTGTTAATGTATAACGAGACCTTAAAATTTACAGCTAATGAAAATTATTACTGTAAAATAAAAGAACTGATACGTACCTTACAAAAAACTAAAACTATGAGCGGTAAAAATTACATCCACACAACGTGTGAACATAAAATCGTCAGTATGACCAAACTATAAACTATATTCAGGTCACTTTTGCACCCTTATCTCAGGTTTAGCATTAAATTCTGAATGGTATAACTTCATCTTACCCAGATGGCACTAATAAGCAGAAATCATCAGTGCGTACTCTTATACATATTCGCACTCTTGTACACATTTACCCTATTATTCAATTTTTCGATTTTACAATTTCTGAATTTTTCAAGGTTTCAGTTTTACGTTTTTCCAATTCCTCCTCTTCAATTTTCAAATTTGACTTTTGCAAACCATTTTTTCGATTTTTCATTTCTTCAATTCTTCAATTTTTCAATTTATTAAGGTTTTGAGTTTTCGGCTTCACTTGTTTGACTTTTTGATTTTCAGTTTTTTAATTTCTCAGTTTTTTAGTTTCTCAGTTTTTGGATATTTTAGTTTAGGGGTTTTGCAGTTTTTCTTTCATTTTTCAATTTTTCGAAATTTTAGTTTTGGGATTTTTCAGAAGATATTTATTATTCAATTTTTCGATTTTACAGTTTCTCGATTTTCAATTTTTTAATCTCTCAATTTTCCAATGTTTCACTTTTACGTTTTTTCCACTTTTCTCTTCAATTTTTCGATTTTTTAATATTTCTATTTTTCATTTTTTCAATTTTTGATTTTTCCAAATTCTCAATTTTTCGATTTTTCAGTAATTAATCGATCGATGTTTTGATTTTCCCATTTTTTGACTTTTGACTCTTTCGATTTTTCAGTTTTTCTGTTTATTAAGGTTTCGATTTTTTGACTTCAATTTTTAAATTTTTCAATGTTATAATTTAATAATTTCTTCTTCTTTAATTTTTCAAATTTTCGATAGTTTTCTTTTGGGATTGTTGTTGTTTATTATTCATTTTTCGATTTTACAATTTCGCAATTTTTCAATTTCTCGATTTCAATTTCTCGATTTTCAATTTTTCAATTTCTCGGTGTTTTTATATGTTTCAGTTCTATGTTTTTTCGATTTTTCTCTTCAATTTTACAATTTTTAATAATTTCCATTTTTTACTTTTTCAATTTTTCAGTTTTGATTTTTCTAAATTCTCAATTTTTCGATTTTTCAATAAGTAATCGAGCAATGTTTTAATTTTCCCATTTTTTGATTTCTGACTCTTTCGATTTTCCAGTCTTTAATATTTCGATTTTTCAGGTTTTTGATTTTTCAATGTTTCTCTTGTTTAAGGTTTCGACTTCACATTTTTGATTTTTCGATCTTTCAATTTTTCAATTTTTTAATTTCTTAGATTTTGGAGGTTTCAGTTTCGTGTTTTTCAATTTTTAAACTTTCTTCAGTTTAGGGAATTTTCAGATTATTTATTATTCAATTTTTATATTTTACAATTTCCCAATTTTTTACAATTTTTCTTTATTCTTCAATTTTTCTATTTTTAGGTTTTGATTTTTCGACTTTACTTTTTGACTTTTTGATTTCTTATTTTTTCAATATTTTAATTTTTCAGTTTTTGGATATTTTAGTTCTGAGATTTTTCAGTTTTTCTTTCATTTTTCAATTTTTCGAAGTTTCAGTTTCGAGACTTTTCAGTTTATTTATTTTATTATTCGATTTTTCGATTTTACAATTTCTCAATTTTTCGATGTTTCAATTTTACGTTGGTCCAATTTTTCTCCTCTTCAATTTTACGATTTTTAAATATTTGGTTTTAGCAATTTTTCAAATTTGACTTTTGTAAACTCTCAGTTTTACGATTTTTTATTTCAATTCTCCAATTTTTAAATTTTTATGGTTTTTGATTTTTCAATTTTTCGACTTCACTTTTTGACTTTTTGATTTCTCATTTTTTAAATTTCTTTAATTTTTCAGTTTTTGGACATTTTAGTTTAGCAATTTTTCAGTTTTTCTTTCATTTTTAAAATTTTTGAAATTTTTGTTTCAGCATTTTTCAGATTATTATTTGTTATTCAATTTTTCGATTTTACAATTTCTCGATTTCAATTTCTCGATTTTCCAATTTTTTAATTTCTCAATTTTTCGATGTTTCAGTTTTACGTTTTTTCAATTTTTCTCTTCAAATTTACCATTCTTAAATATTTCTATTTTTCAATTTTTCAGTTTTTGATTTTTCTAAATTCTCAATTTTTCGATTTTTCGATAATTAATTGATCGATGTTGATTTTCCCATTCCTTGACTTTTGACTGTTTCGATTTTCCAGTTCTTCAATTCTTCAATTTTTCGATTTTTCAGGTTTTTGATTTTTCAATTTTTCTTTTTTTAAGGTTTCGATTTTTCGACTTCACTTTTTTGATTTTTCGATTTTTAAATTTTTCAATTTTTTAATTTCTTACTTTTTGGATGTTTCAGTCCTGAGATTTTTCAGTTTTTCTTTCATTTGTCAATTTTTCAAAGTTTCAGGTTCGGGATTTTTCAGTTTATTTATTATTCAATTTTTCGATGTTTCAATTTTACGTTTTCCAATTTTTCTCCTCTTCAATTTTACGATTTTTAAATATTTGGTTTTAGTAGTTTTTCAAATTTGATTTTTGTAAATTCTGTTTTTCTATTTTCCATTTCTTCAATTCTTCAATTTTTCAATTTTTTAGGTTTTTGATTTTTCAATTTTCTTTTTTTAAGGTCTCGATTTTTCGACTTCACAGTCTTGATTTTTCGATCTTTCAATTTTTCAATTTTATAATTTCTTAGATTTTGAATGTTTCACTTGTGATTTTCCAGTTTTTCTTTCATTTTTCAATTTTTTAAAGTTTCAGTTTCGGGATTTTTCAGTTTAATTATTATTCAATTTTTTGATGTATCAATTTTACGTTTTCCAATTTTTCTCCTCTTCAATTTTACGATTTTTAAATATTTGGTTTTAGTACTTTTTCAAATTTGACTTGTAAATTCTGTTTTTGATTTTTCAATTTTTCAATTTTTTCAGGTTTTGATTTTTCGACTTCACTTTAGACTTTTTGTTTTCTCATTTTTTAAATTTTTTAATTTTTCAGATTTTTGATATTTTTGTTTTGAGATTTTTCAGTTTTTCTTTCATTTTTCAAATTTTCGAAATTTTTGTTTTGGGATGTTTCAGATTATTTATTATTCAATTTTTAGATTTTCCAATTTCTCAATTTTTCAATTTCTCGATTACAATTTCTCGGTTTTCAATTTTTCAATTTCTCAAGTTTCCGATGTTTCAGTTTTACGTTTTTTCAATTTTTCTCTACAATTTTACGATTTTTAAATGTTCCATTTTTTAAATTTTCAATTTTTAATTTTTCTAAATTCTCAGTTTTTCGATTTTTCAATAATTAATCGATGGATGTTTGTGATTTTCCCATTTCTTGATTTTAGACTGTTTCGATTTTCCAGTTCTTTCTTCAATTCATCAATTTTTCAATTTTTTTAGGTTTTTGATTTCTCAATTTTTTAAGTTTTTTAGGTTTTGATTTCACGACTTCACTTTTTGACTTTTTGAATTCTCATTTTTTAAATTTCTTTAATTTTTCAGTTTTTGGACATTTTAGTTTTGCGATTTTTCAGTTTTTCGTTCATTTTTAAAATTTTTGAAATTTTTGTTTAGCATTTTTCAGATTACTATTTGTTATTCAATTTTTCGATTTTACAATTTCTCGATTTTCCAATTTTTCAATTTCTCAATTTTCGATGTTTCAGTTTTACGTTTTTTCAATTTTTCTCTTCAAATTTACGATTCTTAAATATTTCTACTTTTCAATTTTTCAGTTTTTGATTTTTCTAAATTCTCAATTTTTCGATTTTTCGATAATTAATCGATCGATGTTGATTTTCCCATTCCTTGACTTTTGACTGTTTCGATTTTCCAGTTCTTCAATTCTTCAATTTTTCGATTTTTCAGGTTTTTGATTTTTCAATTTTTCTTTTTTTAAGGTTTCGATTTTTCGACTTCACTTTTTTGATTTTTCGATTTTTAAATTTTTCAATTTTTTCATTTCTTACTTTTTGGATGTTTCAGTTTTTCTTTCATTTGTCAATTTTTCAAAGTTTTAGGTTCGGGATTGTTCAGTTTATTTATTATTCAATTTTTCGATGTTTCAACTTTACGTTTTCCAGTTTTTCTCCTCTTCAATTTTACGATTTTTAGATATTTGATTTTAGTACTTTTTCAAATTTGACTTTTGTAAATTCTGTTTTTCGATTTTTCATTTCTTCAAATTTTCAATTTTTTAGGTTTTTGATTTCTCATTTTTTTAATTTTTTAATTTTTCAGTTATTGGATATTTTAGTTTTGAGATTTTTCAGCTTTTTTTTCATTTTTCAAATTTTCGAAATTTCTGTTTTGGGATTTTTCAGATTATTTATTTTCAATTTTTCAATTTTACAATTTCGCAATTTTCAATTTCTCGATTTCAATTTCTCAGTTTTCAATTTTTCAATTTCTCAATTTTACCAATGTTTCAGTATTACGTTTTTTCAATTTTTCTCTACAATTTTTCGATTTTTTAAATTTTCAATTATGATTTTTCTAAATTCTCAATTTTTCGATTTTTCAATAATTAATCGATAGATGTTTTGATTTTCCCATTTCTTGACTTTGACTGTTTCGATTTTCCAGTTCTTCAATTTTTCAATTTTTCAATTTTTTTAGGTTTTTGATTTTTCAATTTTTTAATTTTTTTAGGTTTTGATTTTACGACTTCATTTTTTGAGTTTTTGATTTCTAATTTTTTCAATTTTTTAAGTTCTTAATTTTTGGGTATTTCAGCTTTGAGATTTTCCAATTTTTCCCTTCTTCAGTTTTTCTTTCATTTTTCAATTTTTCGAAATTTTAGATTTGGGATTTTTCAGATTCTCGATTTTCAATATTTCTCCTCAATTTTTCGATTTTTAATTATTTTGATTTTTCAATCAATCAATGTTTTGGTTTTCTCATTTTTTCACTTTCGACTGTTTCGACTTTTCAAGTTTTCGATTTTTTTAAATGTTCCGATTTCTTAATATTTCGATGTTTCGACTTCCCGGTTTTAGATTTTCTGTTTCTCAATTTTTCGGTTTTTCAAATTTTCGGTTTTTAGATCTTCCAATTTTTCGACATTTTCATTTTTCAATTTTTCGATTTTTTGAAGTTAGAAGTTTCGATATCTCGATTTTTTGGTTTTTAAATTTTAGGTTCTTTAGGTTCTTCGATATTTTTATTCTTCAATTTTTTAAATTTTACATTTTTTGATATAAAAAATGTTCACTTATTCGTTATAAACTACTATTTCCCGCAGAAATTATAGTCCAAACCAACCAATTAAGGCGATACTGGCCTAAACGCGCTTTGGTCTGTAGGTCAAACAAGTTCTCAGGAAAGCCATTACACCTAGGAATGTGTATTTTGGGTTGCATTTCAATTAGGGGAAGCCATTTATTCCTAATGGACTACCTGTATATGTTAGCTCTTTTCAGTGGTGCCTAATTACATTTGTTCTGTAATTTTTGTTTTACCATAGTTAAATAGTTAACAGAACTATTTTTTTTACATTAATGTAAAGAATAAAGTCCACTAAAATTTGAAAATCCCGCGTTTGAATAACAAGGTCAATCACATTACACAGACCATTAGCTCCGTTACCATAGTGATCCATAACCTGACAACGATTCCTGCGCGATGTCAAATTTTTGTTTATTATTTGTACCGTTGTTAATTTCGCCGGTCATACTTTTAGATCTCCCAAATATGACTTCAATTAAATTGCTTGCTACTGACTTCGAAGTTTACGGTCGTGTACAAGGTAATAAATGTATTACATAATACTTTAAAATTTTAATAACCTTAGCATGAAAAAACTGGCGATTTGACAACTCTTATGTAATTTTCCCAGGAGTTTTCTTCCGCAAGGTAAGGCCATGGTTAGGTTTGTCGTTTGTCAAGCAACAGTAACTAAAAATCCGCGTCTTTAGTACACACAACAAGAAGCGACAAAATTGGGCTTAAAAGGATGGTGCATGAATACAAGTTCGGGCACAGTGAAAGGTGTGATAGAAGGAGACGTTAACAAAGTTGCTGATATGTAAATAAATTGATTCGTTAGAACGTTTGGAGGGTGCTATAATTGCCTGTTTCAGGAAACGTTGGCTGCAAACAACAGGAAGTCCACAATCTAGAATTGACAAAGCAGAATTTACTAATGAGAGGCAGATTAACAGTTTCACATATGATTCTTTTAAAATCAAACGATAATGTCTAGATGAAATTGTCAGTATTTATTGATATTTATTTTGAAAAGGAAACAGTTGAGAGGAATTGTAATACCAGTCTGGTAAATAAATTATAACCAATTCAGATTGAATTTATATATATTTTTTTAATTTAACATGTACCTAACCGCATTTTTTGTCACACCGGGAATGTAGTTATTTACCTATTGTGTAAGTCAGGCTTGGATATTATGGGTTGTTTTGACAAGTTGTTTTCTGACATAACTCAAACTGAAAAGCGTTGAAAAGTAAGTTCAGTTGACAGCTAAAAATTGCGGGCTATTAGTATCAAAAACAAAAAACTTCCTTCTAACTTTAATAGTAGGGCGATATTTTTGCCTATACATATGTAGTTCATCACCAGAACCGGAGTTGGGAATTTTGCCGCCCGGGATAAAGTGACTATGTAGGGTGCCTCAACTTTCGTTAAATATGTTTAATATTTATATCATAGAAAACGGGATCACTAGGTTTAAAATTAAGAATGCATTGATGATCTTCACTACAGAAAATTGAAAAGTTATTCGTTTTCAGGTGTTCATTTTATTTGTTCACGCCTGAATATTTCTGTATAGGCAACCCATTTTACGTTTCATAAACAGCTTGGATTAATTTTTATTTTTAAATAATAATGAACGCATAGAGAGTAATGATCAGAACCAAAATTTTGACAAATTATTTCTGTCAGCCAAATATTTTCAATTTTCGTTTGCTTTAAAATGTTTTCGAATTCTGAAAAAACAGACATGTTATTAACATGGGGAAGGTGTGACAAAAATTTTGATGCTGCTGTTCGTGTCTACGGCAGGCAATATCCCAATAGAAGAATTCCCTCAAATCAAGCGTTTAGAAAACTTGAAAAAAATTTACGAGAATTTGGGCAATTCAAAAAAAAGTTAGAAATCGAACTGTAACAAGGCCGGATAATGAAACTGCTCTAATTGAAATTGTAGCAGACAATACTAATTCTTTCAATTTTGTCATTATTTGGCATTGACATCTTTGCAATTTTTTTCTGTGGTTGCTGATTGTTTATTAAAAAAAAAATAGTAGGCGTGAACAGATATAACATGAACACTCTGTAGTAATGTACACATTTCACATTGTCTTTACACTGTCGTGCTGATGACAAAAAATTGGTCTAAAGAGTTTAGACAGTACTTCCCTCGCTGTCGGAAACTTGACGACTGCATGCCTATTGTGTTTTTTTCTCATTACATTTTTGTAGTGGGAATTTAAAAAAAAATTGCGATGACGTCATCAACATTTTTGCAAGGACACGTATATCAGTTGGGATAGATGTAGTGTAATACTAAGAATAAAATTATTATATTCTCAAATTTTCGGGAAAATGAATTGGGTCGTTTTGAATATTGATTTGTAATAAACAATAAAATAACGAAACAATTTACTGACGTATACGTATCAGAGGCAACTGAAAATCGTGTATGTATAAACATTCTTAATTTAAGATGACAGGCGTAACAGCATACGTGAGAGTCAAACAGAGAAACTGTAAACAAAACGACCATCGGTTTTATTGCTTCGACTTCCGCTTATTATATAAAACATTGGGTTTTATTTTAATTCTTGACGGTGAAATTCACAATTGGTTGATTATAAACATGTCTATTTCACATTCGCGGAACCAAGTGAGCGCATAAAACAAATAGAGGTCTGTAATGTTAAAGTCGATGTAAATAAGCGTGCTACCCTTATGTTTCAACCGAGTTTTTCCTTTAACAAATTTTGTGTCTACCAAATTGGGTTGGTTGGGGTGTAATACTAATAATAAGTGTTGCCTTTAATTTAATCAATAAAATAAATTGACTTCATTAATTTTTTTGAACCACCTCTTAAGAAAATCTAAAAAATATGAATGGAATGATAAATCACAAGTACAAACTCATCATATTTTTTGCATTTTAGATAGGATTTATTCAGCAAAATTTAAGGGTGACGTCATCAATTTTTTTAGGAGGGATGAACAAATACATTTTGAACACAAGTTTACCATGCTTATAATAACTTTAAAATATTCCCAAGATTTCAAAGCATTCGGTTTTCTAATTCCTGATTAAATCGATAAAGTAAATTCACGCCTTCATTATTTTTTTTTAGTCACCCTGCATATGCAAATCCAAAAATATGATTGGAATGATAACTCACAAGTACAGACTCATCATATTTTGTACATTTTAGATACGATTTATTCGGCAAACTTTTGAGCTGACGTCATCAGTTTTTTGTAGAAGATAACCAAATATATTTTGACTAAAAATTTATTATGCTCTTTATAACCTTAAAACATCTGCAAGATTTCAAAGCATTCGGTTTTGTAGTTCCTGATTAAATCAATAAAATAAATTTACGCATTCATTAATTTTTTTGAGTCACCCTGTATATGCAAATCGAAAAAATTTGAATGGAATGATAAATCACAAGAAGAGACTCACCATATTTTGTACATTTTAGATAGGATTTATTCAGCAAAATTTTGTGGTGACGTCATAAATTTTTTAGGGGGGACGACCAAATACATTTTGATCAAAAATTTACCATGCTTATGATAATTTTAAAATATCTTCAAGATTTCGAAGCATTCGGTTTTGTAGTTCCTGAGTAAATCAGTAAAATAAATTTACGCTTTCATTTATTTTCTTGAATCACCCTGTATATGCAAATCCAAAAAATATGAATGGAGTGATAGATCACAAGTACAGGCTGATCATATTTTGTACATTTTAGATATGATTTATTCGGCAAATTTTCGAGCTGACGTCATCAAGTTTTTGGAGGCGATAAGCAAATATGTTTTGACTAAACATTTATTATGCTCTTTATAACCTTAAAACATGTGCAAGATGTCAGAGCATTCCGTTTTGTAGTTCCTGATTAAATCAATAAAATATATTTACGCTTTCATTTATTTTCTTGAATCACCCTGTATATGCAAATCCAAAAAATATGAATGGAGTGATAAATGACAAGTACAGGCTCATCATATTTTGTACATTTTAGATATGATTTATTCGGCAAACTTTCGAGCTGACGTCATCAAGTTTTTGGAGGGGATAAGCAAATATATTTTGACTAAACATTTATTATGCTCTTTATGACCTTAAAACATCTGCAAGATTTCAGAGCATTCGGTTTTGTAGTTCCTGATTAAATCAATAAAATATATTTACGCATTCATTAATTTTTTTGAGTCACCCTGTATATGCAAATCCAAAAAATATAAATGGAGTGATAGATCACAAATACAGACTCATCATATTTTGTACATTTTAGATATGATTTATTCCACAAACTTTTGAGCTGACGTCATCAAGTTTTTGGAGGGGATAAGCAAATATTTTTTGACTAAAAATTTATGATGCTCTTTATAGCCTTAAAACATCTGCAACATTTCAAAGCATTCTGGTTAGCAGATTAAAAATTAAATTTCAAAATGTTGTTTTATAATTTTGATTTTTTTCCAAAAATCTGGACGTTTCGGGTGAAAAGTCGATTCAGAGTTGTAAACTACATGTGTAGGACTATGTTATTTTATACAATTGAAAACTCATTTACTATGTACAATTTTGAAGTGACGTCATCGCATTAGTGGTGGGGATGATTAGACAAATTTTGGTTAGCGTTTTACCATCTACATGATATTCTTAATATAAGTACAAAATTTCACAACAATCGGTCGAGTACTTTAGGAGATTATCTGTCTAATAAAAATCCGGGACGGCAGACGGACAGACGGACGGACAGACGGACAGACGGACAGACGAACAGACAGACGGAAATGGGAGACCTATTTCTTCGTCTTCTAGGGGTCATGAAAGATCGAGAAAACGTAAAAGTAGAGAGTCGGCCGACGGACTCGATTACAATACTTCCTTTGCTTACGCTCGGGAAGTAAAAATTTAACACGGAACTTAATTGCAGCAAACTCTCGTAAGTTTTTATACGCTGTGTTTTGTCCTAAATGGTGCTCAGCAGAACTACTCGCCAAGTCTGCTAATCTTGTTTCACTGTTGAGCGTAAATAAATTTTTATCAGCTTTGGCTTCGAGAAACTTCGTTCAGCACGTTAATAAAATTCTTAGTCTAACAACAATATTGGAAAAATGTGTTTAAAAAAAGTGTATAAAACGTCCCTCGGTGAATTATTTTTTCAATAGAACTAGCTAAAACTTCTAGTTCATCAAAAAGTTGTATGACATCAATATCTTTAGAGGTTGTTTGCTCGCTCATTCGTTAACATTTTGCATTTTTCTAAAATTTCCAATTTAGAACTGTAATTTCTAGATGTCGTAGAGAAATGAAAAATAAGAATTGTGATTTTGTAATTGTTCAAAACGATCTCTTACATAGCAATTGTAAAAAAAAACAGCTTTGAATTTTAATCTTGGAGCTTTTATGACTTCTATGTCACAAAGTTGATGTTCTTTCAATTTCACAACCTGTTTTTAATATTGTTACGTTGATCAGCAATTAAAATCGGCGTGGGTAAAACTCAACAATTTAAACCCACACATTCCTCTGGATGGTTCGCGAATGCCGCTTCGAGGTTTTTCTGGACCCCGCAATCGAGACTTCCGACAACCCGCTCCAGGCTTGTCTTTATGCGAACGCCGCCCGGCCGCCGTCACCAATGATGAGTCACCCCTCATCGCCGTACATACTAGAAGAGCCTCGAGAAAACCCATAGGCGTCGTATCGGGGCGGCGTATGGGTTTATTTCGTAACAAGCTCTTTCCATCAGTGATGGCAATTTCAAAAACAATCATCAGATCCATATCGGTCCAAATAATGTTACTGCAAATGATAATTCAATATTTGAATCGTACCTATTTCAATTAAAGCATCGTCAACTTCCACTGTTTAAAATCTTATAGGACGAATAACGTGTATTATGCTTTCCCATCTTGTAGCGGTGATTGAAGGTTTTAAGTTTAATTTAGAAACAAGTTTTTTTAAAACATCCCTTCTTAAAACAGACCATGTGAAAAATACATTTATAAAATTTTAATGTAGTATCAAAGCATGCAACAACTTCTTTTGATGACGTTTTCTACCATCTGTCGCCATAAAAC